AAGGGAGGGAGGGGGCAAGTGGGCGGGGATAGGGGGGACAAAGGGTTAAAGGGAGGGAGGGGGAGGGAGCGAACGGCGGCGAACTTAGGCTGAAGAAAGAGAAAGAAAAGGGAAAGAAAGAAAGAAAAGTGTTCTCGGGCCACGTTCAGAAAACGCGATTAAAATCTTGGGTGTTCAGGGAATCCGGTCAGTGAGGAAAGTGGGTGCAAGTTTGGAGAGCTTTAGGGTCAGAGTGATTGCAAAGGTCTCGAGGCGTTTGGGATGTGTGAGTGTGTGGATGGGTTTAAAAGCACTGAAGTTTGAGGTAGCTTGTGGTAACTGAATAAAGCTTGCGGCTGGAGTGGAGAAACACTTATTTACTGCATGTCATCAATTCGAGTGGAAAGGCTTGCGAGAAGCTGGGTAACTAAAGCAGGAAGAGTCATACGAACATGGAGCCCGAGGAGGGACGTAAAGAAGATAATGCTGGAAATGAGAGGCTGAATGAAGAGTCCACGGAGGGGGCAGAACCATTACTTCTGAAGGCAGCTGAGTTAGAGGGGCAGGATGGGGAAATTTTGGGGGACGGTGAATTAAATCAAGGAAGAGAAGCAGTGTCAGGTGAGGATGGAAATTATACTGAGGGTATGGCAGAACCAGAGCCCAGGGAAGTAAAAATGGGAGAGAAATCAAGTCTCAGGGAGCTGAAAAGTAATGCAGAATCTGAGGAATTGGGAGGAGAAGGAGAATCAGAAGAAAAGGAGCATGAAGAAATCAGGATTGTTGAAGAGAGTAGAACTCTAGAAATGGATGAAAAAGTTGATTTGGCAAAATCAGAGGATCAGAGGGAGAAAGAAGTTCATGCATATACTGAAGGAAAGGCTGATTATCCACACAACCTGGAGAAGGCTGAAGTATTCATTTTAGACCAGAAGGATTCAGAGGGAGGGACTGAAAAAGAGATTGTTGAAACCACAGAGATTCAGAAAGAGGATAATGATTTGTCAAGATTGGGTCAGGGAGGCAATTTAGAGATAACTGAAGAGGGAAAAGATGTAGCAGCAGATGCAACATCAGTAGATCAGAAACAGACTGAAGAATCAGTAGAATTAGGTGAGGAACAAAATAAGGTATACATCAAAGCTGAGGATGAGGAAATAGCTGGAGTAGAGCAGAGTTTAATTGCACGTGAAACAGAGACATCAGTAGAAACCCAGGAAAAACCTGAGCAGGCATTGGAAAATCTCAGGGAACCTGGAGAGATTACTGGAAAGAGAGATGCAACAATGGCTGATGAAGAAGCAACAACACTGCATCAAACAAAGGTTGACAAGTTAGTTGAGGGAAGTCTGGGAGAAAGTGGGAAACCAGTGGGAGAGCAACCATTAACGGTTGAAGCTAAAGCGGAATATTTCCCAGTAGTTGTAGAGACAGAGGAGGTGAGAATTGGGAAAGTGACTACAGAAGAAGTTGTGATTATACCAGTTGAAGATGAAACTAAGGATTTGATGGAGACAAGTGAAGAAGTAATGGGTGAGAAAGATTTAGCTGCCATGGAAGCTGTAGCAGTAGTTGAGGTTGAAAATTTGGTGGACATTAGTGAAACACAGATGGGAAAGGAGGATATGACACTAATTGTAGAATCAAGGGAAAAGACTATGGAAGAGTTGATTGCAGAGAAAGATGTAGAAGTAACAGAAGCACCAGAGAGTATAAGTGGAATACGAGAAGAAATACCTACACAA